ACCTTCATATTACCTTCTCCTCTGTGTCTCTGTGTGTTACTTCTCTCTATGTCTCTTATAAGGACACTAGTCGTGGAATTAAGGGCTCACCCAGATAAGCCAGCAGGATCTCTTCAAGATTCTTAATTATACCTGCAAAGATCCTTTTTCCAAAAAGATTCTGGGAACTGAGGTGTTGATGGGCCTTTTTGAGGGCCACCATTCAGCCTACTACAGTGTGTTATATATATTTTTCTAATATACAATAAAGTAAGTATAAATATTAAAATAACTTCATGTATCACCCCAAAACAATCTTAGATACTTTGAGAAGAAAAACTGTTTTAGTATTTTTCACATTTTCTATAGTTTTGTGCTAGGTACTAATATTTATTGCCATGCAAGGTATTAAGCAAATACCTGATGAGCGAATATATGTGTACATATGTATATACATATGTACATTTCTGATCTCATTTTGCCTGATTGTGACGGCTACTATCCCAATCTCTTAAAATTGTTGGGTTCGTTAGTTTGTAGAAATTGGTGAATTGTTTTGTTCTATAGTTCTCCATTTTCTGATGCTACTGACATGGTAGTGATATAAGATTTGAAATTCCTCTGTGTTTAGATTAAGTCTCACCTTCTAATAATTCCCGTCTCCAGCCACCTTTCCTTTTTCTAATACCCAAACACATAATGCTCTTATTGGAAAAATATTTGAGTTTTAGAAGGCTAAACAGACATTTTGACCTAAACAATGAATGTGTACAATGTATGTGTGTATGTGTATCTAGGCATGAAAATAATTGAATTAACCCAGAGCAAAGCTGAAAGGTACCTGTTTACAAAAATGGGTTTCCTCTTTCTGTTTGCCAGGAGCCTAGGCTTTATCATGTTACTATAGCACCATGCCTTTCTCTCCTTCTACCTACTGTGCTGTCTATAGTATTTTGTTCTTTCATTTTCTTTCTAATCTTGCCTTACTGCTTTCAAGCTCCACATTAGAGCTGGTTTAAATAAATGAAAAGTGGAAACTTTGTAACAGTTGATTCCACTGACTCTCAGGGTTTCTCTACCTATCTTAATCAAATGCTTAAATATTCGTGAAATTGACCAGCTTTTCTCAGAATTTATTTCTAGAATTGAGAGGCGTGTTTCCTAAGAACTGAGAGCCCCTCATCTTTAGTAATACATGAATAAATAACTCTTTTTATGTTTTTTTGTCAATTCAGATTGGCTTAAGGAAACCTGATAAGGATTCTGGGCATTTGAGGAGTAGCACTGTGGAAATTAAAGCTTGTCTTCAAACCACTCCTAAGTTTCCTTATTTTCTTTCATGCACAACCATCTTCATAGATTCAGAAATCCTGGAATTCAAGCTAAAGTCTTAAAATAGCAAATGGGGAAAATAGCTATTCTCTTTCTTTGGAGAGTGGTAATGATTGACTAGAGAATACTTAAAAACTGAAGCCATCACACCATGCTAAAGATGAAGAACGATGACTTTAAAAAAATTTGATGGCAGAACAATCCTCAGACGAGCTTTCAAAGCTGAAGTAATCATATTCAATGAAGCATGAAATAGGTAGCCATCCCGAGTCATCTTAGTGAGAAATCTTAAAATCACCAAAATTCTAGGACCAAAAACTCACTCAGTCAAGACTTGAAGGTCTTCTTCAGAATTTTCAAGCATAATATGCTATCTAGAAAGATAAGGTAAAGCAAATAGTGTGTTGTGTCTTTTTTTAACTGCAGGGAGGGTTATATTCAAAATATGGAAGAAGTTAGGCTGTATAGCAATATTTTTATTAAAATTATTTTGATCATGTTGAAAAAAGAATCCTCAGTGCACACAAACAAAACTTTTTTACCCTAATAGTGCGTAGATATGGAATGCTTGTCTTTAAGCCACAAAGGAAGGAACAGAAAGGTCAACCTTGGGACCTGCTTTTGAGTACAGTCTGTTTTCTTGAGAAAGCTTGCATTCAGAAGACAATATTTACACCTAGAAAATACTTGCCACAAGATAGATTCATTTAGGCATAAGAGGCATACTTGGAAGTGATATGTACAGAAAAAAATATGTGATGATATGTTTTGAGGAAGTTACTATTTAGATACTGAAACTGAAACAACTGGCCTTCCAACATTTCTCTCAAAGCCTTTTGATGGCAGGGGAGAAGTAATGATTGAAGTCCTGCTGCAGATAGGATTTGGTTAAGAATTGGCAAACCACAAAATAGATTTAGTCTATAAAAGGACAGCTCATGATAGCCTGTTGGTGCGGGACCCTGTAACACAGTGTCTCATTAAGGCAATAAGAATAGACTATCAGTTCTTAATTTTCTAGACTTGCATCAGTCAGTTTCCATTTTAGATGTTCCTAAATAATGTTTTTCAGTAAAAGCTTGCAGATCAAATCAGCTAAACCCACGGCCTTGAGCTAGTAACATTGTTGCAGTTAGAACTCGGCTCACCTAAATGGCCTTTCTTTGGCAAAAAAGAGTAAAAGTTGCCAAAGTAGTGTTTATTTTATGGTTAGGATTCAAAGCCTCAACGTTTTCAGGTTTATGGGCCTAAAGCTTAGAGTCCAAGAAGTCTCTAAAATTTAGGTAAGTCCTTTCTTAATTTCATTAGCAGGTTGTGTTTATTTATACACCTGTTCCCATAACTGTATTCTTATAGAAAATGATATTACACTGAACATCTTCTTTTTTTTAATTTTTTTAGACAGAGTCTCACCCTGTCACCTAGGGTGGAGTGCAGTGGCACAGTCTCGGGTCACTGCAACCTCTGCCTCCCAGGCTCAAGCAATTCTCTGCCTCAGCCTCCTGAGTAACTAGGACTACAGGTGCATGCTAACATGCCTAGCTAATTTTTGCATTTTTAGTAGAGACAGGGTTTTACCATGTTGGCCAGGTTGGTTTCGAACCCTTGACCTCAAGTACTCCTGCTGCCTTGGCCTTCCAAAGTGCTAGGATTACAAATGTGAGCCACTGCCCCCCCCCCCACCTACACTGAACCTCTTCTTATGCTTTCTGTTGTAACTGTTTTTTCCTGTTATTGACAGCAATGGTAGAGAGACTATGGAAAGAGATAACATTGTTACTTTTCTTTGGAAGAGTCCTTGGATTCTATCTTTTTAATCTGGGAGTGGAGCTACTAAAGTGAAGAGACATGTAGGAAATGTAGGAAAAATAAGAGCTTAAGATGATTTGGGGGATTCTGAGAACAGGGGAGTTTTATGTTCAGCAGAGCCATTCTTGACAACTTCCTCTCCCTGTCAACAGGATTCTGCTCTCCCCCCTTATCTGGATGGGTTGAATCCACCGATGAGGGATAGATTACATTAGCAATAGGTGAAACATTTAGACAAATCGCAGAAATCATGTCCTGGAGGAGCAGATTGAAGCAATGTTTGGACCACAAACAAGGGCTGAGTTGGAATGGGGACTTTCAAATCAAGATACCAAGAGGGTTGTAGCATAAAAGAAGGGAAAAGCAGATGGCAGTCTGACTAAATTCTGGAGATAAAGCAGGGATGGGTTTTTGGTGCCTTTACTCATTCCCAGCTGCTCTGAGGGTTACTGTAGCATTTTTTTGACATAGGGTCTTGCTCCGTCACCCAGATTTGAGTGCAGTGGTGTGATCATAGCTCACTGCAGCCCTCTGAGGATTTTTTAAACAAAATCAGAGCAAGAAGACACTGCCTCCCCTGCCACTCATTACTCTCTGAATCCAGACCCTTATTATCTCTCAACTAAATTTTACAAAATCATAAGCATAATGTAATGATCACACCTTAAAATTAACAATAATTCCTAAATAATGTCAATACTCAAATATTTTTACATGTCTCACTGAGATTTTTCCACTTGCTTTCTTTTGGATTTCTTTGAATCTAGCCTTGCTCTTCTTTCAATCAATCTTCATTGAGAAGCTAGTTAAATCTCACAGAAATAATTCTGTTCTTGTTACTCCTCTCCGCCAAACAATTATCTTCTATCACCCACCATTTCATTGAACTCTACCCTTCCTCATTTTCCAAATATACAAAACTAAAGCTGGTTATATTTTATATAAAGGATGCATTCCTTAGCATTTTTCATAATTTAAAACCCCCATACTTCAAATATAATGCTAATAGATAATGGAGGCTTGTTATGTTTACTGGCTAAAGTGGTACCACCATCTCCAAGGTCATCTTCAAGATCCAGAGTATTGCTTGACAGTGGCCCACACAGTTCATAATACTCTTGACCTTTTAATTCATGGAATTCTTAGCTTTTAATTAGGTTGAGGCTTTATTTCATATATTACATATAAAGCGATCATTTGTTAGTTTTTTTTTTTAATCCCAGAATAAAAAAGCTGCACGGTTCAGTCTTGCATGTAATACAACTAGCTGTATTGCATCCGTATTCTCTAATTATATTGTCTGTTGTTATGTCTCTATAGACAGGAATATCTTTCTTATCTCTTATCTGCCTAGGGAATTCCTATTAATTTTCTATGACTCATCTGAAATATCACTTCCTTCTTGAAGCCTCCCTGTCTAGACAGAATGAGTCACAGAAAATGACTCTTTTCTTTTCCTAAAATGCCTTGCTTACATGCCTGTTACATCCTTTATTATGGTATGATTTACAAACTATTCACATTATTCTATCATTATATTTAATATGTTAGTATGTACTTATTGGCTGTACTATAATTCATGTGTGCTGCCACTGAGCTTATAGTGGATACTCAGAAAGTCTTTAATTAATTTTGTAAGATTATTGTAAAGGTTAAATGAAATAATTTTAAACAATTGCCTGATACAATACCTGGTACTTACTGGTACTCAGTAGTTTCCCTTCCTTTTTTCTCTTTAGTTTACTCCTGCTTCACTTCTCTCAGCACCATGTATTCCTTCTATGAGAAACAAATAGAGATTTCTTTTTTTCATTGTTTCCATGTCTCTTCAGGGTACTAACACCGGCTTATGCATTCCTCATTTGTTTATTTTTTTTAAGGGCACTGGTTCTGTTCGGAACAGAGATCCCCCTGAGATAGAAGACAGAAGTAATATGACTTCTCCACCACTCCTGGATGCCAACCCGATGGAGAACCAAGCACTGTTTAATGACATCAAGATTGAGCCCCCAGAAGAACTTTTGGCTAGTGATTTCAGCCTGCCCCAAGTGGAACCAGTTGACCTCTCTTTTCACAAGCCCAAGGCTCCTCTTCAGCCTGCTAGCATGCTACAAGCTCCAATAGGTCCTCCCAAGCCACACTCTGCTCCCCAGACCCTTGTGGTGTCCACGTCAACATCTGACATGAGCACTGCGGCAAACATTCCTACTGTTCTGACCCCAGGCTCTGTCCTGACCTCTCAGAGCTCTGGTGGTCAGCAGATCTTACATGTCATTCACACCATCCCCTCAGTCAGTCTGCCAAATAAGATGGGTGGCCTGAAGACCATCCCAGTGGTAGTGCAGTCTCTGCCCATGGTATATACTACTTTGCCTGCAGATGGGGGTCCTGCAGCCATTACAGTCCCACTCATTGGAGGAGATGGTAAAAATGCTGGATCAGGTGAGTAACAATATTGCCCCTTTCCTGGCCTTCCTGCATCTGTTCCCTTTTTGGGTCATCCTGTCCCCTGTCTCTTTTCACCTCCTCCAATTATTCTTGCACACTGCTTCAAGAATAATTTTTCATATGTACTGTTTTTATCATGCCTTTTTAATGCTTAAGAATGTGCAATGACTTTTGAATAGACCATGCTTCTCAAACAGGTATGCATATCTATCAGCAACATACAGCTTCCTGGAACTTCCATATCATTTGATATTAAATAATTTAAAGCAATACACACACACACACACACACACACACACATATATGTTTTTTGTTTCTTTTTTTGAGACAGTATAACTCTGTCACCCAGGCTGGAGTGCAATAGCACGATCTTTGCTCACTGCAATCCCCGCCTCTTGGGCTCAAGCAATTCTCCTACCTCAGCCTCCCAAGTAGTTGGGATTACAGGCACTCACCACCAGGCCCGGCTAATTTTTGTATTTTTAGTAGAGACAGCGTTTTACCATGTTGGCCAGGGTGGTCTCGAACTTCTGACCTCAGGTAATCCTCCTGCCTCGGCCTCCCAAAGTGCTGGGATTACAGGTGTGAGCCACCGCAACCGGCAGCATTTTATATTTAAAATATGATTATCTTATAGGACAAAATGCCAAATTTGAAAAACCTGTTGAGATAAACCACAAACTTCAAAAATAGTTTAAGCTTACTAAAGGCATCTGCCCTGGGACTTTTCAGGAGAATGTGTTTATTCTTTTACGCCATTCAGAATGCCTTGGTGGAAAAGTTGAGAATAATATTTGTATCCCTACCATACTTAGCCAGTATTAGCTCCTGTCTCCACCAATACTTTCCCTTTTCTCTTCCCTACAAAAAAAAGTCATTGAAATATGTGTTCTTCATTTGGCATCTATTACTCTCCATTTTACATATTTATTTGCTTGTATCACAAGTGTCTGGGCATTATTCACAACTGAATTATAAATTCCTCAAGAATAATACCGTTATTTTTTTATGTGTGCCTCTCCAGAGAACTTAACACAGTGCTAGTACTTGTCTTGCAACAAATAATTTAATGAATAAGCAAACTTTAAAATTTGTCCAAGAGAGAATTCAAATGCTATAATCTTCCATTTTATTTTATTTTTAAAGGAAATTGAGAATTCAGAAAGGTGTCAGTTAAGTTTCTCTTCTACCACTATCCCCCATCCACTAGTTCTCCTCCCAGAGGTATATCTATTTTAGTTTGTAATCAGGGATGATCGGAGAAAATTATGTGGCCTCTAAGGCAGGCTGATAATATTTTGCATAATTATAAAGGCCAAGGGGTGGGAATGACTAGGAAGCAGATTTCAGCTCAGTGTAAAAGAATCTCTACCTTTGAAATTTGATGCCCTGCACTAAATGTAGGAAGCTGAAAAACAACATACTGCTAAGCATCAAGTTGTTGAGACTCTGCACCGGTCTTCTGAATACAAATATTATCATTGACTAGTAATTAATTATGTTAATAAGTGTGCATAATCTTAATTTGAGATATGATATCCATTACATATAGGAAGGGAGAGCCAAACAAACCAAAAAAAAGGAACAAACAAAAACGAAAATAAAATTCCCCATGTGAAAGTTTGCTGAGATAAAGGCAGTGGTAGCATCAAGGGATGGTTTGAAGGAGCTTTGAATATTCCCTGTAATAGCATCAGTCCATCAAACCCACTCTAAATAAACAGAATAAATTTTAAATGTGCTCAATGTACTCTGTATTAGTCTGTTTTATTAGTCTGTTTTATTAGTCTGTTTTAAATGTGCTTTGTATTAGTCTGTTTTCATGCTACTGATAAAGACATACTGAGACTGCGAAGAAAAAGAGGTTTACTTAGACTTACAGTTCCACATGGCTGGGGAGACCTCAGAATCATGGCAAGAGAAAGGCCTTTCTTACATGGTGGCGGCAAGAGAAAAATGAGGAAGAAAGAAAAGCAGAAACCCCTGATAAACCTATCAAATCCCATGAGACGTATTCCCTATCACAAGAATAGCAGGGGAAAGACTGGCCCCATGATTCAATTACCTCCCCCTGGGTCCTTCCCACAACACATGGGATACAATTCAAGTTGAAATTTGGGTGGGAGCACAGCCAAACCACATTAGTATCCAAAATGGGGGGCTGTCTAAACCTTAGGGGGCACACACAAAACAATTGGAGTACAGGAAGAACGTATCAAAATTTATATTTTCTTACCCTTAAAAAATTGATGAATTATATTGTATATTTTTATCATGTATAACATGATGTTTTGAAGTATATGTACACTGTGGAATGGTTAAATGTAAACAACAAATGTATTGCCTCATTATTGTTTTTGTGGTGACAGCACTTAATATTCATTCTCTTTACAATTTTAATAAATAAAATGTATCATCATTAACTATACTCACCTTGCTATACAATAATCTCTTGAAATGTATTCCTCTTATCTAACTATAATTATGTATCCTTTGACCAACATCTCTCCATCCCCTCCCCAGCCTCTGATAACTACCATTCTACTCCCTACTTGCATGAGATTAACTTTTTTAGATTCCACATATGAGTGAGATCATGCACTATTTGTCCTTCTGTGCCTGGCATACTTCACGTAACATAATGTCCTACAGGTTCATCTGTGCTGTCACAAATGGCAGGATTTTGTTCTTTTTTATGGCTGAATAATATTATATTGTGTATATATATATCTCTCATATTTCCTTTATTCATTCATTTGTTGATAGATACTTTAAGCTGGTTCCATATCTTGGCTATTGTGAATAATGCTGTACCAAACAGGGATGCAGATATCTTTTGGATACGTGATTTTATTTCCTTTGGATATATACACAGAAGTGATAATTTTAATTTTTTTTTTTTTAAGACGGGGTTTCACCATGTTGGTCAGGCTGGTCTTAAACTCCCAACCTCAGGTGATCCACCCGCCTTGGCCTTCAAAGTGTTTGGATTACAGGTGTGAGCCACTACGCCCGGCCAATTTTAATTTTTTGAAGAACCTCCATACTATTTTCCATAAAAGCTGTAACTAGTTTATATTCCCATCAACAGTGCATAAGGGTTCCCTTTTCTCCACATACTCACCAGCACTTACTGTCTTTTGTCTTTTTGATAATAGCCACTGTAACTTAAGTGAGATGACATGCTACTTTTTGTTTGTTTTCTTATAATGTATACAAAATTGTAGGATACTAGTACATGTATATCACATACATGCACAAACATGCATACCTCAAGATACATGCTTAAACCTTTTTAGTGAACGATATGCAAAGCATAGAGACAACTGTTTTAACCAAATACCTGCTCCCCACCTTATCACCACCTCTAAGTTTCTTCTATATAGAAACTTTGAAGATTTCCCTGGATCTAGGAAACTGTTGACCACCTGATTGAGATTTGTTAAGAATTAGAAATATCAGTAGTTGATAATAAGGAATATTTGACAGCTTCTCCCAGCATAGGTGGAAAGGAAGGTTGTATCAAGCACCTACCAGATGGTAGGTATATGTTTCATCTCGTTGACTCATTTCTATCTAGGAGCACAAAGGCCGAGGTGGATGTTCTCACATCTGGACTAATCCTAGACATTGATTTTAGGACAAGCAGGAGCTATTCAACAACTTCAATCCAACACACACTGTTGAAGCTAACTTTTCAGCAGACCCTGTACTGGGAGCTGAAGATAGTAGAGAGATAAATCATACCCAGACCATATTCTAGAGACACTCTCATTCTAGTGGTACCAGAACTCTCCATACTATTCTTCCTTTAAAGGCATTTCTGTTTCCTGCTGTGCAAAAAAAAAAAAAAAGGTATTCTCTTCCTTCCATGCAAATACACTTATTTCATCTTTGTTTTTTCTTTATTTTTCTATCTTGCTGCCACTTCTTAAGGTGGGACAAACTGGGAATCCTGAAAATGGTTAAAGAAGCACATACATTTTTAGCTCACACTGTTCCCTTGCTTTGCTTTCAGTGAAAGTTGACCCCACTTCCATGTCTCCACTGGAGATTCCAAGTGACAGTGAAGAGAGTGCAATTGAGAGTGGATCTTCAGCCTTACAGAGTCTGCAGGGACTACAGCAAGAGTGAGTACTTTTTGTCTTCAAGTCTGTCTTTGAGCATGTGTGTGTACATTTGCACATATGTATAGATGGAACTAATGATGAGACACAAGAGTAAGAATTTGAGGACAAAAAATATAGGAAGCCTACTTTTCCAGTGAAAGTATATGAGTTTGTGTGCATACATATGCATATACATACATGTAATGGTAGAGCTGTGTTCTAACTGTAGATCATCATTTTTCTTTTCAAAAATCTTCAAATTTTCCTTAAAGTGTGGTTGTATACTATTTCTGTAAGTTTAAAACAGCTTTGTCTTTCAATATTGGAGCTAATTGAAAGTAGTTAGCTTGTGTTTAGCAACAACTGTTGTATGAAAAACAAATTTTTTGAAGTAGAAGAATGAAACTTAAAGTGAAATACTCACAGTTTGGGAACACAACCACTGAAGGAAACGTTATCACCTCCCATGCTGTCTTGAGCATTTACTGAGGGACCTGCACGTATTGAGCAGAATGGCTTGGTTGACAGAATTATTTTTACTATTCCAAGTATTTATTTTGGAGGGGATCTAGCATTAAATTCATATAAATTAAAAGCGTATATGAGATGGCACCAATGAATGTAAATTCATTTAGTTAGCTTTCACTTTAAAGTCACCCTTTGGCTTTATCTCTATTTCTTTAATCAGACCATCAGCAATGGCCCAAATGCAAGGAGAAGAGTCGCTTGACTTGAAGAGAAGACGGATTCACCAATGTGACTTTGCAGGATGCAGCAAAGTGTACACCAAAAGCTCTCACCTGAAAGCTCACCGCAGAATCCATACAGGTCTGCCTATCTCACCCCCAACACACACACACACACACACACACACACACACACAGAGAGAGAGAGAGAGAGAGACAGACAGACAGACAGACAGAAAATGAAGTCTTGAAACAAAGACATGCATTTATGCATTTATACTCATGGGCACAGTCTCCATTCATGGTTTTTACCCCTATTTCTTGTCCCTATTCTAAGGCAAATTTTATAAAACCGGCCTGGGAAAACACTAAACTAAATCTGGTGTCTTCTTAATAATCATCATCTCCAATGAGCCACTGTGGGTCTTTCTAATTGGGAAGTCAACACTTAAGCAAAGATTAAGGCATTACTCCCTTCCTTACTACTGGGGTCTCACAGGTTTTACTAAGTGTGGAAAAGCACAAGAACAATTTAAACTAAGTGAAAGTAAAGCAGACTTTTGGAGCTTTAGGTTAGTACCATCTAGTAACCATTAACGTGTCATTGTTCACATTAGAAAAAAGGTACACATAAATAAGTAAAACAGACTTGGTAGTAATTCTGTCAAACTGGACAGCACATACCTGACCTGAAGAAGGAGAGCTGCCACTCAAATCCAGCTGACTACAGTCAGCCATCAATATTCCTGGGTTCCACATCCATGGATTCAACCAACCACAGATCAAAAATATTTTTAAAAAAACAAAATAACAATACAACAATAAAAAATCACACAAATTTTAAAATATAGTATAATAACTACTTACATAGCATTTACATGGTATTAGGTAACATAAGTACATCTAGAGATGACTTAAAATCTAGGAGAGAATGTGCATAGATTATATGCAATTACTATGTTATTTTATATCAGGGACTTACGTACCCATGGATTTCATTATCCACCAGAGGGTGGGGCTGGGAACGTGGTTGGCTCTGAAATCAATCCCCCATAGATACTGAGGGATGACTGTATTAGTAAATTTAATTGTTAAGCAAAAAAAAAAAAAATCAAGATTATTATGTGAAATATCCTTGATTTTGAATGCCGGCATCTAGTTCAAAAATTTTTTATAACCCCAGGAATTCAAAGAAACCTGCCTAGAAGCCAGATGCAGCTTGCCATTTATCAGTATGTGCCTTTGCCTTGGAGACTCCTCCAAGCTCAGAATTGGGGCTTTGGCACTTTCGACAAGGAGGAAGCCCTCCTTTCTTGTAAACATCTGCTGTGTTACATTTGCTGTGTTAGAATTTGTGTAGAAGGACTCAGAGGCCCTAGTTGTTGTACCTAGAGGCTCTAAACAGGTGAGTGATTTCCAGGCTGCATTATTCAAACATTCCCATGACACTATTCTTATTTCCTGATGTATTTGTTTGCTTCTCTTCCATGGGAGATGGATGCTGACTATATATACATATAGCCATATATATATACATATATATTCTGGATGCTGGCTCTACATATATATATATATATGTATATATATTCCAGCTCTCCAATTAAGCTGCGTGGGATCTGATATGTCTTCCTACCTCTTTGAACACAGATTTCCTAACTGTGAGGGGTTTGGACTAGGTGATCCCATTTGACTATTTTAATCTAGAACCTTATGGATTGAATTTCAATGTAACCTGTGTGGCTACCTTCTAGAAGGTCCCAAGTGTAAGCAGGTTGGAAATTGCTTTATAATACTAAAAGTCTGGCTGTCTTTCCTGTGTCACCTCTTGGCTATGACACAGAGATAACAGATACAATTTACTTTTATTTACTTTTCAGATTTCAGTACTGTTTTCCCCCCTAGTGGTATAAGCTTCCCGAATGAAGGGATAAAATGGTCTTAAAATATCTACAATTCTTAGCTTTGTGTGTTGTAGGAGAATTCCTTATCTGATAAGAGACCATGACAGCCAGATGGCTGGTGAATGGAGACAACTGATGTCTACATGAATATCACTATTTTTGTTTTTTGAGACAGAGTTTTGCTCTGTCGCCCAGGCTGGAGTTCAGCCTAGGGTGATCTCGGCTCACTGCAACTTCCACCTCCTGGGTTCAAGCTATTCTCATGTCTCAACCACCCACGTAGCTGGGATTACAGGCATGTGCCACCTTGCCTAGCTAATTTTTATATTTTTAGTAGAGATGGGGTTTTGCCATGTTGGCCAGGCTGGTCTTGAACTCCTGGCTTCAAGTCATCTGCCTGCCTTGACCTCTCAGTGTTGGGATTACAGATGTGAGTCACTGCCCCCAGCCTTACTTTGTTTAGATTCGGAATCGCTCTTATTCTATTCAGGTTTTAAAATTGACCCATACCTTTGCTGTGGGTACGTGACCACAGGAGCAGTCACTTGGAGGCATTTCACAGAATTATTTAATTTGCCCTGACTGCTTGACTTTCAATGGGCTTAGCTGCTAGGGAATAAGGTGACAATTCTGTAAGTACCCCCATCCCTGCTGTATTGTAATAGGGCTTCTTTTCTCACTACAATTCATTCTCCACACAGTAGCCAGAGGATTCTCATCTGTTTGCTTTTGTTTTGTTTTGTTTAAATATAAATAAGATTATATAACATTTTCTACTTAAAATATTCCTAGGACTTCCCATCACATTCTAAATGGAATCCAAATAGAGTAACCCAAAAGGCCCTGCAGGATCTTGCCTCTTATCGTTTTATCTCTTGACATTTCTTATCCTTTAGATTTCAATTTGAATGTCTTCTGCCCAGAAAAAATCTTCCCTAAACCTATCTTAAGCAGTGTCCCCCCCAAATATCTATATAAGAAAACCCTAATTTCTTGATAGAGTTTCCTTTTCTTTTATTTTCTTTCTTTTAAAAATTTTAATAATATATATTTTAACCCAATATATCACAAATATTATCACTTTACAACCTAATCACTATGAACAATTATTTTTATTTTCATATTCTGTGGGTACGTAGTATGTTTATGTATTTATGAATTACATGAGATATGAGATATTTTGATATAGGAATGCAATGTGTAGTAGTCAAATTAGAGTAAAGGTATGTATCTATCCCCTCAAGCATTGGGCATCCTTTGTGTTGTAAACAGTCTAATTATACTCTTTTAGTTATTTAAAATGTACAATTAAATGATTTTTTACTATAATGATGATGTACCATCAAATAGTAGATCTTAATCATTCTCTCTATTTTTTGTACCCATTAACCACCCCCACTGCCCCCCAACCCACCGACATCCCACCATCCTTCCCTGCCTCTGGTAACCATCCTTTTATCTCTATCTCCATAAGTTCAATGATTTTAATTTTTAGCCACCACAAATAAGCGGCAAACTGTGAAGTTTGTCATTCTGTGCTTAGCTTATTTCAATTAACATAATGACCTCCAGTTCCATCCGTATTGTTGTTGCAAATAATAGGATCTCATTCTCCATGGTGTATCTGTACCACATTTTTTTTTTTTTTTTTTTTTTTGAGACGGAGTTTCGCTCTTGTTACCCAGGCTGGAGTGCAATGGTGCGATCTCGGCTCACCGCAACCTCCGCCTCCCGGGTTCAGGCAATTCTCCTGCCCCAGCCTCCTGAGTCACTGGGATTACAGGCACACACCACCATGCCCAGCTAATTTTTTGTATTTTTAGTAGAGATGGGGTTTCACCATGTTGACCAGGATGGTCTCGATCTCTTGACCTCGTGATCCACCCGCCTCGGCCTCCCACAGTGCTGGGATTACAGGCTTGAGCCACCGCGCCAGGCCAACATGTTTTTTTTTTTTTTTTTGGCGGGGCGGGGGGTGTCAGGAGCAGTGGGGGATGGCATCTTGCTTTAAGCTTTAATCTCCAACTGAAAGTTACCCTTAACCATCCATGTATACCATTATGTCAAATTTTAGTCAGCCCTGCAGAATTTTAGACAAATGAAAACAGACAAGCTAACACCAAAGAGTTAAGCACAAAAAGTGATATTGATTAAAAAATTGAAAGTAAAATCTACCTTGGCTGGAACTAAACATTCAGATCCATCTCTGTAGAGGAAAATCTAACTTGAATCATAATTTGACTAATTCATACCATATCAGTTAGCAACTTACGGCTTGAAAATACTTTTTCTTAGCTGCATTTGACTACCTAAAATCCTACTGAGCATGCTGTTTGACATGTCTTATTCCTCTGAAATAATCATCTACTTTCCAAAAGCCAGAAAATGAGTTTGACTATGATGTAAATTTCAAAAAGTGGTTTGTAGAAAACACAAAAAGAATCAACTGTTTAAAGTCTTATCCTTCACTGTACAACAGCTACTTCTACCAAAAGAAAAAAAAAAAAGGTATGTGGATACTTTCTAAGAACTCAAAAATGAGAAAACCAAAATCAGAGGGTGCATGAATATACGTACACACATATGTACAGACTTAATCTCTGCATCTCCCAAACAGATTTAAACAGGTAATTCCAACATTCTAAATTCAGAAACAGGGGTACCACTAGCTTAAATGTTTAGTAGAATACTGCACCTGCGGTTCAGCAGTACTTCGATTATATCCCAGCCAAAAAATCAAAACAATAAGCACATTCTTCTAACAGCAAAGAGTTCTCCCACTTTTTATTCAGACATACTGATATATCCATAAACTTGCAAGTGGAAGATAAGCTATTTAATAAAAACCTTCTTTTATATATACTATATTGAAATTATTTTAGAGGTTTGTTCATATAACAGATTATTTTGGTACTAAGAAAAATTATATACAATCCATCAGTTGTATGGCTAGAAATAAAACCATTACTAAACCGAGACACACAGGGCTTTCCTGCAGTGCATTTCAGGAAAAAATTCCAAGTAATTGCTATGTTAGAAGAATAAAGTACGTTTGTCATAGTATACATTATCGTATTCCCTTAAAGGGGGACTATTTAAAGTTTTAAAGTTAAACGATGTCTAGGAATACTTCTGTCTGTACATTCAGGAATAATGATATCACTGGTTACATACAATTCTCTCCTCATGCCAAAAAAAAAAAAATAAAGCAAAACCCTCAATTGTTTTCCTAAGTCTGATT